AAGCCACGAGTTGCGTTGTTGCTGGAGAAGATGGCGGAGACGCTGGAGGGGATGGGATGTATATAGGAACGGGCTTGCGATAGCTCAGCTTCCTTTGCATTGTGGTCGAGCGTAGTTCGGGGTACCGAGTTTGCCTCTGGGTGGTATCAGGAATGGAGGTGATTCCGGGAGAACTTAGGCCTATCAGCCGCTGAAGTTAAGTGGGACCACAGAGGGTAGTGTGAAGGTGTCACACATGAAGCAACGCGACTGAGGAGTGGCTGCTATATGAACCCGGCTGCCGCATGGCAGTGGCATGGCGGTGATGAAAGAACGGGTCCAAACACACACGTATTGGTGTATCAAAGACACCAAATGGGTCCGTTATTTGACCATCCCTATTATATGTCCCTTGCTTTGTCTCCGGAGGGACCCTCGGGACAGTGGCTTGCGTTGTCTGGAGTCATCGGCCAGCCACTGTTGGGTCCATGAAAGAATATCTGTGAAGTCCATTGACATTTTAAAAGGTAGCTACATTCAAAGTCGACTTACTTCGGTGGAGGTTGCATCAGGCTATATGCAAGCAAACTGCAACTTGCTGCAACTTCCAGAGTTCTCGAAAAGAATTTTGGAATGATCTTCGCCCAAATTCCCACGCTAGGAGGGTTCAAAAACCGAGCCAGACTCGGCGTCAGCGTTTCTTCCCTTCTCGACACTATCACGTCTCATCAAAAAAGCGACGCTTACAGGGCCATACTCTCTGTGTTTGACTCCAACCTTCAGCTTCCAGCTTTTGCACATTGAGCAATGCCTCCTCGTGGTCGTGGTGTTGCTCCGCGTCGCGGTCAAGGCGCGTCCAGGGGTGGGAGTCCTGGCCGCGGGGCCAGCCGAGGCTCAGGCGTCCAGACGCGTCCAGCAATTAGTGAACATATCACCACTGTGGGCGTCAAGAGGCCAGACTTTGGCACCGATGGCGCTTCGATCGAAATATATGCGAACGCCTTCAGCACGACCATCCCGCAACATGTTGTACATCACTACGACGGTGCCTATATTCTCCCCTTGTCGTTATTAGAACTCATTCTGAGCTTCTCCCCTTAGTTGGTATGTTGGTGCCGCATATATGCACTATTTCCTGACATCCCTCAGTTATCTATCCGGTCGAAACCGTCTTACCCGCGAGGGTGAACATGGACCTCATAAAGCGACTTCAGGCTGATGTTGCGCCTCAAGTGTTCACCCCACGCGCGGTATACGACGGACGGAAAAATCTCTTCGCACTGCGCGAGTTGCCGTTCCCAGACGGCAGTCAAGAGGCTTGTTTAATCTCTACCTCAATTCATCGCCCACTGATCGTCCTTATTCAGTTTGAAGTTCCAGCGCCTAATGCGGCTTCTGGTAGACCCCCCAAGATGATCAGGATCCGCCTTAATAAAGTTGCGGAAATCAACCCAGAGTATGCCCTCTGTAACGTGGTTTTGACCTCCATAAATGATACTCCCTACAGAATACTTCGGCGATTCATTGCAGGGGATCAATCCCACGACAGTGCTGTGACTACTGCCCTCACTGTCAGTCGAAGTCTTTGACAGTGAAACACTAACCCTCAAAACGAATATAGGTGTTAAATGTAGTTGTTCGGATGGAACCTAACCTGCGCTATCCGAGTAACCTCCGCTCCTTTTTCACTCCTACGGGCTCGCTTGGACTTAGAGGTACCGGTCTCGAACTCTGGCGCGGATACTTTCAATCTGTTCGTCCCTCGATTGGGAAGATGTTGATCAACATCGACATTTCGACGGCCACCATGTATCGACCTGGTCCCTTGCTAGAGCTCTGTCGCGAGTTCCTAGGCATAGGCGACCCAGCTGCACTATCGCCCAACAACGGACTCAGTGACCGCGAACGACTTCGACTGCAGCGGTTCCTCCTTGGAATCCGTGTGTGGACTTCTCCCGAAGACAAAGCTCGAGAAAAGGCCCGGACACTCAAGAAACTTTCTTCCAAAGGGGCCAACCAACTGGACTTTGAAATGCGAGAAGGTGGGAAGATGACAGTCGCCCAGTACTTTAGGCAGCAAAACCGCGTATTGAGATATCCCAACGTCATATGCATCGAAGTATGCCGGTCCTACTCTCTTATCGTCATGAAACTTATTATCGATTCAACGCGTGCACATCGCAGGTTGGGAATGGGGCATATATCCCCCTAGAACTTTGCGAAGTACCGCCTGGACAGATGATGCGCAAGCAGATACCTGCCAACAAGACGAGAGAGATTACGAAATTCGCAACACAGAGACCCAGTGATCGTTTGAAGAGTATCCAACAAGGTCTTCAGGTTTGTCCTCTCTCTCAGCTCTAAGAAGATCGGTATATGATTTTGGCAATCAAGGTCCTAGCATATGGCCAATCCGAATACGTTCGCGGTTTTGGGATGTCTGTGGACCAAAACATTCTCAAGTTTAACGCAAGAGTCTTGAGACCGCCTGTCCTGCGCTATGGTCCAACTAGCAAGTCGACAACAATTGTACGTAGCTGCGGATGTGCGCATTCCTCTGTCTTACTCCTTAACAACTAGACCCCCTCGGATGGAAAGTGGAACATGTGAGCACTTCAGACGCTGTTACGAATACGCTGATATCTCGCTACAGGACGGGCAAGCACTTTTACAAAGCAACCGAGATTGTCCAATGGTGCATCCTCGTCTTCGAGACGGAAATGCGCTTCCCTGCTCAGCAGGTCAAGGCCACGATAGATGGCCTGGTGCAAAACTGCCGTGAAGTTGGTACGGGAAGATTTTGACATGTAAATACTTCCACTCACTCGCCAAAACAGGAATCAAAATGCAGGAGACAAAGTTCATTCGTTGGGCGAATGCACAAGGCGCGGTCACACAACAGCTAAATACTTCGGTATCACAATGCTACAACGTCACCAAGAAAGTACCACAGCTAATTGTGATCATTCTACCTGAGGGTGGAGACGATATCTATACAGCGGTGAAACAGTGAGTCCCATTTGATCCCATGGCACAATTCAGTACCTTGACCAAAGTGATAGTTTTGGGGACATCGCCGTGCGTTGTGCCCGATATCCTGCCCTGGCGAAAATTGACCTCTATGCAGCACGGCATACCTACCCAGTGCATGAAAAGCAAAGCGTGTGTCGCTGCGGGGCCGCAATATTTTGCAAATGTTAGCCTTAAGTATGGGTGGACTCTTCTCGTCTTGTTTTGTTTCTGATTGCCCACCAGGATCAACGTGAAGCTTGGTGGCATTAATGTTGTTCCCAATGCCGAAAGAACAGCGCCACTCCCAATTCTTGGGGACGTGGACAATCCTACCATCATCTTCGGTACGCACTGGTCATCTGGTATTTCATCGTTCGATCGTTGATACACCTTATCAGGTGCGGATGTCATTCACCCAGCCCCTGGATCGGAAGGGGTTCCATCCTTCACAGCGTTGGTCGCGAGTGTCGACAACGAGGCTGCTAAGTATATTGCAGGTGGGCGTCATCTTACAATGAATGTGACATGTGGCACTTATATGCTACTCCAGCATCGTCCGTCCAGGGTTCTCGTCAAGAAATAATAGCAGATCTCAAGGAAATGAGCAAAGTACGAGCTTTTCATGAGGCTGTACTCGCTGACGGCTAACCTTCAAAAGGATCTCCTTGTCCTATATCAAAGATACCGCGAACGCGTTGAACGAAGGTCTCCGAATGACTTGAAACCAAAGCGAATTATCTTTTACCGAGGTCGGTGGCGCGTGCTGACGTGCTCCACCACTAATTCTATGCGGTAGACGGTGTTTCTGAGGGTCAATTTCAACAAGTGCTCGACAAAGGTGAGTCTTCGGGATCCTTCGTCGTCAGGGTTTAACTTTAACCCTCATACCACTTGTTTCAATCAGAGCTGGCGTCGCTAAAGGGTATGAAATAGACACCTGTCGCGACTCGATTAACGGTGCTCTTTCAACAGAGGCTTGTCGAGAATTAAACATAGACGCCAAAATTACATTCGTTGTTGTGGGAAAACGACATCATATCCGGTATGCATTCAACGGTGGATCTGGTTGTCTCCTGCGTAATCTCTGCCTTAGATTTTTCCCTGTCAACCCGAAGGACGCGGATAGAAGCGGGAATTGTCCTGCAGGAACCGTTATCGACCGCGAGATCACTCACCCAACAGAATTTGACTTCTATCTACAAAGCCACGGTGGTCTACTAGGCACGAGCAAACCTGCTCACTATTCGGTCTGTGATCCTCTTTTGGATATCTGAGCATATAATTCAATTGCCCTAAGGTTCTCCACGACGTAAGGATCCTTGAAATACCTGGTAGACACAACTAACATGACTCACTTCTTCAAGGAGAACAATTTCTCGTGAGTCTCCTGATGGGCTGCTCGGCATGCGCTAATGCACTCGAGTGTAGATCAGACGCTATACAGAGAGTTTCCTTCAACCTGTGCCACGTGTATGCCCGTTCGACGCGCTCTGTGTCCATTCCAGCACCCGTCTACTGTAGGTTCAGTTGATTAAACACTATTGAAGCATTTAAAAAATCATTCATTGCCAACAGACGCAGATATTGTCTGTTCCCGAGCGAAAAACCACTATAGTCCTGAGGGATCCGTAGTCCTTTCAGAAACTGGAACTCGCCTTGGGAGCGAGCGGTCCACCTCTCTTGACCTCTACAAACGAGAATATCGCAAATTACACCAAAACCAGCGCATCTTGATGTACTTTTCCGTATGTCTCTCGCTTGCCTTGCAATTGTCGTGAAGCGCTGATCTTCCATGGTGTTGTAGTGAGTTTTTTAACTCACCTTGGGCTCTGTCGTGTATGGCAGATGCTGCACGCCCCGAGAACTTGCCGGTAGCCCTTGTACTGTGATTCTGTAACAGATAACGTTTGTGTATGAGTATTCACTGTATTCTAATATTCGAAACTTGTGTAATAACCTGTGGAATAATACGTATACTGAGGGAGCCATCCCATTTGCAAGTAAAAAGAAGGCGCCACCCAGGTTCGAACTGGGGTTACGAGAAATGTCGCAAGCATCAGAATCTCGAGTGATAACCACTACACTATGGCGCCTGGATGGCGCGCTTAGCCTGATGATCATTGTATATTTCGAGGGATTGACCATTTGCCACGCGTCTACGTCTTGACCTGTAAGCTAATGATCAGGCTCCGGAGCCACGATGTCGAGCTTCCTCCCTCTTGTCGATTCTGATACCGAGCTATTGGATGCCCTTCTACGGATAGGCCCGGCGATATGCACTGCACAGAGGTCTCAGGACCTTTCAGGTCGGGCATCGTACATTCTCGTCGACCATAGCACACAATGCAACCTCGATCTCGTAATTAGCTGGCTGGATGGCGGGGTGGAGAAGGTCATAGTTCCCCTCGCTTGGGCCAAAGAAATTATCGGATCGATCCCGCCTGAGCGACTTATCCTCCTCTTGGACGTAGCCAACGTGAGCACTGTGTCTGATAAAGTTCGCTCAGGGGTTTCGGGCGTGTTGCTCAAGACGCCAGCTATTGATCTGGACCTCATAACCTCCATCGCCAAATTCTTCACTGGTGCCGGTATCCACGTCCTTGCGACTGGCGACAGCTGCCCTTCTCTTGGCACCCTTCGTGAACTTTCGACTATCCAAGCCACGCCCGTGTTACCTGCAAAGTTTCTCACTCTGGGCCCGACAACGACATCCCAGATTAATATCGCGGACGCATTCTTAGCTCGAGTCGTCTCTGATCGTGCTGATGGCCTATTCCCCACAGTAGTATCAAACCACACAGGGCATTCCCTCGGTCTCGTTTATTCCTCTGCAGAATCCGTGAGAGAGAGTATCTTGACCGGAAAAGGAGTCTATCAATCTAGGAAGCACGGGCTTTGGAGGAAAGGGGAAACATCTGGTGCAATCCAAGATATTATCAGCATTCACCTCGACTGCGATTCAGACGCCTTGGAATTCCGTGTCGTTCAGCACGGAGCAGGCTTCTGCCACCTCAATCAACAGTCCTGTTTCCATGAACTCGGCGGAATCCCCGCTTTGGAGAACACTCTACAATCTCGGCTGAAACACGCGCCAGAGGGTTCGTATACTCAGAAGTTGTTTAGAAATCCTGAGCTTCTTCGTTCAAAGATTATGGAGGAGGCGGACGAACTTTGCAGTGCCGAAAAACCCGAAGATGTAGCATTTGAAGCCGCCGATCTATTGTATTTCGCGCTGGTGAAGTGCATATCTGCAGGTGTCGGGATTGCAGAGATAGAACAATCTCTGGATGCAAAGGCCAAGAGGGTGACGCGCAGACCAGGGATCGCAAAACCACAATGGACCTCTCAGCCCCAGCCTAAACCCGTTTCTACACAGCCAGCAATCGACGCCAATGCGCTTATCAAGATGCGAACCACAGATCTCGCCTCTGCGACATTAGTTGAACGCTCGGACCTCTTGAAACGGCCTGTCCTAAAATCAGATGAAATGATTTCAAAAGTCAAGCCGATTGTTGACGAAGTGCGAAAGCGGGGAGATGCCGCCCTCCTCGAACTTACAGCAAAATTCGACAAAGCGAAGCTGTCATCTCCGGTTGTCCTACCTCCCTTTGCACCAGAGACGATGCAGCTGGATGATTCCATACGCCAGGCGATTGACAAGGCGTATGCCAACATACTAAAGTTCCACGATGCACAGGCGGATAGAGGGACGTTGGTCGTCGAGACGATGCCAGGCGTCGTGTGCTCGCGATTTGCTAGACCTATCGCTCGTGTGGGGCTTTATGTACCTGGGGGTACAGCAGTCCTACCATCCACTGCTCTCATGTTGGGCATTCCGGCGCAGGTCGCTGGCTGCAAGGAGGTTGTTGTAGCCACTCCCCCACGTGCAGACGGGAGCGTTTCACCTGAGGTGGTCTATGTTGCCCACCTAGTCGGCGCCTCTGCCATCTTGAAAGCGGGTGGTGCTCAGGCTGTCGCAGCCATGGCGTATGGCACAGAATCCGTTCCCAAAGTTGATAAGATCTTCGGACCTGGGAACCAATGGGTCACTGCTGCGAAAATGCTCGTACAAAACGATACGGACGCACTTGTATCCATTGATATGCCTGCAGGACCTTCGGAGGTGCTGGTACGTGCTTTGTTTCACTCTGGGTAAGTTTGTGAAGGGCTATAACTGGTCATAGGTGATTGCAGACCACACAGCAAACCCTTCCTTCGTGGCTGCGGATCTGTTATCTCAAGCAGAACACGGTGTCGATTCCCAAGTCGTGCTTGTCGGTGTCAGTCTCTCTTCAGAGAAGATCGCCAACATCGAACGGGAGGTAGACACGCAAGCCCGAGCCCTATCCCGCGTCGATATCGTTCGTCAATCCATCGCTAAAAGTATCATTGTTAAAGCTACCTCCGTGGAGGAAGCTGTCACCTTCTCGAACGACTACGCACCTGAACATCTAATTCTTCACTTGGAAAACGCGGCCGATACGGTTAAGTTGGTCACAAATGCGGGGAGCGTGTTTGTTGGGTCCTACACTCCAGAAAGGTGAAATGTTCTCTGCGTTATATGTGATATCACCTGCTGAACTCTGGTCCCGCAGCTGTGGTGATTATGCGTCTGGAACGAACCACACATTGCCCACCAACGGGTACGCACGCCAGTTCAGTGGTGTCAATACCCAATCCTTCCAAAAGCACATCACCTGTCAGGCCATCTCGCCCTCAGGTTTAGAAGAACTCGGACCAATCGTCGCAACTCTGGCGGACTGCGAAGGCCTCGATGCACATGCCAACGCCGTTCGTATTCGACTCCGTGAGATCCAGTCGATGAAGGCTTGAGGAAAGGTGGTTAGCGCGAGGGAGTGTTCATGGTATAGAAATTATTATTCGGTGTCAATGAGTATACGGTGGATATAGAAAATCTAGCGGAATACCAACACAAGCCCAGACCTGAAAGTTTAAAGATAGCCGACTAGTTGGTGCGGTAAAGGGCGCGTTTAGCAACCTTAACTATGAGAGGAGTATCGGGGAAAGCGAGAGCTTCAAGGTTAGTGGCATACTAAAACGCAAGGTCAAAATAGAAGACATCAGGTCACAGAGAAGCACATACAGGAGTAGGAACATCAGCTCCGGTGACTCGCTCGACGGGGGCATCAAGGTAGTCAAACGCCTCGCTCTCGACGATCTGAGCACAGATTTCACTACCGACACCAAATGCAGGGAAGCCTCCTTCAACGATAATTAGGCTGGAACAAGTTAGTGTTCGTGTCGTGATAAGAAGGCAGGAGTCCTACCGGTTAGTTTTCTTGACCGATTTCTTGATCGTGTCGATGTCGAGTGGTCGGATACTGCGGAGGTTAACCACCTCGGCTTTGATGCCCTCCTTGGCCAAAATATCAGCAGCTTCCAAACTGTGGGTGACCATCTTGCTGTGGGCAACAATGGTGACGTCAGATCCCTCCCTTTCAACTTTACATTTTCCAATTGGAAGCAGGAAGTTATCCGACATGGCTTCTGATGACATAGGGAATGATACACCATACATCATCTCATTCTCCAGGAAGACGACGGGATTGGGGTCTCGGATGGCGGACTGTAAGGACGTGGAATTAGTGGTGCGGTCAGGGTGCTAATTTTAGGCTGATCATACCTTGAGTAAACCCTTGCAGTCCTCTGCGCTCCATGGACTCACAACTTTAAGTCCAGGGATCGAACCATACCACGCAGCGTAGTCTTGTGAATGTTGTGCGCCAACACCAGCTGCGGCACCGTTGGGTCCACGGAACACAACGGGACAAGGAACATTGCCGCCAGACATGTAATAAGTTTTTCCGGCTGAGTTCACTATTTGGTCGATAGCTTGCATAGCGAAGTTGAAGGTCATGAATTCACATCTTGCCAGTACTTTAGAACAATGACTAATTGAATAAGTATGTCAGAGACTCACATAGGTCGCAACCCAGCCAATGCAGAACCGACAGCCAATCCAGCGAAACCCATCTCAGTGATAGGTGTATCAACCACCCGCTTTTCGCCGAACTTGTCCATAAGACCCTTTGTCACCTGGAACGTAGTTGATAACCTTGAATAACCAGAAAAACGCGTATTCCATTACCTTATAGGCACCATTGTAGCGAGCGACTTCCTCTCCGAGGATGAAGACATTTTCATCGCGAAGCATTTCCTCCTCCATGGCAGTATTGAGGGCCTCTCGCACTGTCATCTACGTGATAGACCGATATTAATGTCGTACATATTGGATAGATTGGGTTCCGGAAACATACGGAATGTTCACTCTCCGTTGCATAACCGCGGAGAGCCGGCAGAGCACGACGAGCTGCTGTTACGGTAGGCTTGCGTGCATTGGCCAAAGCAGGAGCAAGACGAGAAAATGCCTGACGGGCGGCCATGGAGGTGATTTTGGGTGGAAGAGGAAAAAGGTGGAAGAATTAGAAGAAAGAACGAGCCTCAAATGCGCACACCCGCTGTACACAGGTTGTTTTCAATTTGGTCACACAACTTGTGCAAAATGTTTGGGGCCAATTTTTGGATCTCCGCTCGGCATTCAACCGGTTATTTCGAGAGAGATAAGATAACGGCTGAAGTTTCTTAGCATGACACACCCCAGCAGAACCCCCGTCGTGGTCGTCACTGGTGCTTCCAGGTTTGTCTGAAATTACACCTCTGGTGCATGCTCATCATTGTTCAGGGGAATTGGGCTGGCCGTCACCAAGCATCTCCTCGAGGCATACAAAGCCAAGGTCGTCACCGTTTCTCGTACTCGATCACCCGAATTGCAGGCCCTATCCTCCGACTCTCTTCTATCGATCGATTGCGACGTGTTCGTTCGCCACTTGACCTGACTTCTTTGAGACTGAAGTATCTGCAGGACAGATGCAGCCGCTCTCACCAAGGCCATCTCTCTCGGCGTTGAGAAGTTTCATCACCTTGACGGATTGGTCTTAAACGCCGGCACATTGGATCCGTTAGGTACGATCGGAAATACTACGCCTGTCGACGAATGGAAGCATCATTTCGACGTCAACTTCTTCTCTCTGGTGACAGCCCTTAAGGCTGCATTACCAGACCTCCGGAAGAG